CAGACCTTTGCCATTTAATATGTGAGGACTCCGAGTGGCAGAGAGGCAAGAGAGAGCACAGTGTAGACAGGCCTGCTGCCAGAAGGTCTGCTGCTCTCTCAGTATGGCACCAACGTTTCTGACAACTGCCCCTGAATTGAAGATATTAACAAAAAAATCACGTTTATGACACCTTGGGTCTTTTAGCCATCGATTTGATCTGTTATGATAAAATTGTACTTGGAGAACAGCAGCATTGCTACAAAATCGTAACGCATCTCTAATATTCATTATAGGGTGAGCAAAGTTACAGTTTTGCTACTTTAGGAAATACATTTATCCCCATACCATCCCCACAATCAGGGCATTATGTTTAAGCACCCTATAACAATTATCAATTCACTATTTTCAACAACTGACAAAAAACAAAAATCACACATTTTTGGACCACCCTTTGAGTTTGTCCAGTTGATTGCCACATGCAGTGGCAAACGATCATTCTGTCAATGACAGTCTGTCTGCAAAAGAAAGAAACATGCCACTTAGCTTAACTGTGATTATGGACTGAGAATAGAACACAGGAGCAGATAGGCTAGCGTAAGTTGAATGAATCTGTTTGGCTCACTGACTCCAACTAAACTTTGAATCAGCTAAAAGTAGGATTGTACTGTTGCTAAAATGCAGAACTGATTTGCGAGTCAATGTTAGCTAACTTTGCCAGCCATCCATGAAGTTTATATTTGTAAAATATTCCTTGAACCGAGAAAAGCAATTTTAAAATCTGTGACATCATCGATATAGCCATGTTTCCATTCACATGGTGTGCAAATGTTGAAGTATCACATCAGTATCATTTAACTCACATGACACATGACTCACAAGGCATCTTCTCAAATATTCCCTTATCATGTGAGTGCTTGTCTTTGAATTCGGACAGCATGGAACATGGCCATACTAGCTTAGAGAGCTTGGGGACGACCATGGCTCACTGGGTTAAGAGGGTTGTCTGGTAACTGCAGGGTCAACGGTTCAATCCTCAACTGGGATGTGTCACATGTCCCTGAGCAAGACACTGAACCCCCGGCTCCCCAGGCGCCTATCATTGGCAGCCCACTGCTCCCTATATACAGGGATGGGTCAAATGCAGAAGGCAAATTTTGTGTATATGACAATAAAAATGGTTTCTTCTTCTTACATGAAAGAACAATTAAAACTTGCCCAATTGCAGAAAATTCCTGAAGACCTCTCGTAGAGATGCCCAAGCTGACTTGTTTGCGGTTCACAACTTCTTCTACTTTGTTTACTGGCGGATTACAGCCACTCACTACATTGTAGCCGAATTCATTCGCTCCAAATCAGTTGATGGAAATGTGCCTAATTAGGACCTGAGCACCAACAACGTCAGGCCAGCTTTTTCTGACAAAAGCCAAAATGTGGCCTGTAAAACACTATGTGAGGATTGTTTTTAGCCAAACTGATTGCTAGAAATAGCTTTTGCTACTGAAGCTTTTGTTGATATCAGAAAATAGTAAAAAAAAACAAAAAAAAAAACTGTCATTACTCCCTGAAGCCGAAGCTCACATTTCATCACATTAATAAAACTCTATTTAATTTTGGTTTAACCTTAAATTTACTGAAAAGAGGTTAGTTTGTATTCGTGCGACAGAGCTCTGCTAAATTCCAAATCTGGAACAAGGCAACAAAAAAAAGAATTTATGAATTCTACTCTTGTTCTAGTTCGGGTGAATAAAGAGCACACAGGAAACACAACAGACTTATTAAATGAACAACCATAGTGAGAGAAGTCTGGTGACTAAATGTCTCAAAGCGTACAGGAAATGGTTAGATACACAATTAGGCCACAATTATTTAAATAAAGCCCACTTTGTAATAAATTGGAATTTCTCCTTTTAATCAGAGACAACTGTGCCTGCGTTCCAGGTGTTGGAACCAGAAAGAACTGAGACATGTGATGAATGTCATGCTGTTCCTTTTGTTTTCACCCACTGTTCAAACAGCATAAAGCGGATGATGTCTTTCATTACACCTGGTGAATTTGATCTCTCAGGAAACACCTCTAGTTCATGAATGTTGATGATTTACAGCACCTGAGAGAAAAAAATTCAAATTTGTTTAATGTCAAGACGTAATTTGTGGCAAGTTGCTTGATTCATATCAAACATCTGGAAGGCACTATGATTTCTTATGTGCTGGTCATAATAAGGTTATTTTCACAGTGGAAAAGGATGTGTGTGTGTGTGTGCGTGTGTGTGTGCGTGCGTGCGTGCACGTGTGTGTGTGTGTGTGTGCATGTGTGTGTGTGTGTGTGCGCGTGTGTGTGTGTGTGTGTGCCTGCCTGGCTGGTTTTCCTCCTGCCGACAGAGTAATGGATCTGTTCATTGTTGCATGTGGACTGTGTGTGATGTATGAGATTCATTTGAAATTCTCTGTCTTAAATGAGGCACTCACATGTCTCCATATTGGAGAATATGGACTTGAATGTGAATGCATTATAGGAAAAAGTAAAGAAGTTGCTCATTTTTGCGGTCATCATTGCTGTGAAATGGTCTTGATCGTGGTTTTTAGTCTTTTTTAATGTGAAACCCATATCATGCACAATAAATGTGTCAAAAACACAAATGGTTGCTGTACTGGTCTTATACTTATGTTTTGATGGAATTTTGAATTGGGGGAAATCTAGTGGAATGAAGATTATCAATGTAATCATATCTGAAAATGTTTAATGGAATGTTTGTCTAACAGAAATGTATATTATTTATGCATTATTATATACAGTTATTTGTTTTTGAATTGGATGTGCAAAGAAACACTAAATAAATGTAATAATGACACATTTCTTTGTAAATCCGTTATGCAATTCACTTTATTGCCAAGTTGATTTTGAGTATACTAACAAACAAAACAAAGATGACATTTTTCACATTGGCTTTTAAAAAAAACAAAAGCCTTATCAACATGATTTTATCAATAACACCATAATTAAATGAAATTATAAAAACCCACAATTGAAATGTACACAAAAATTAATTATAAAACATTTTGACATGCAATAAATACATTCATTTCTCTAAGCAAAGTAAGATCAATATTGACAATGAAATGCAGAAAATGCAAAAATACTGTTTGGTTAAATGTATTGCTTTGAATTGTTTCATGGTATGAACTCTTGTAAAACCACAAAATGAAACACTGAACATTATTGATGTTTCATGGACGTTCGCTTCATGCCTGCTGAAATAAGATCCTGCCTTCCACTGAAAAATCTCATTTCCATTTTAAATGAGTCATGTATGCTCTGTCATGTTTTTTTTCCATTCATCCGCAGCTACTACTTGTCTGCGTGGCAGTCTGTGTTGCTGCTGAACTTTCTTCTCCGTAAACCACAAACAGTCGGGTACAACCACCTCGAAACGTCACACTGATCTCCATTAGATCATAATCCATCATTTCTACACATAGCCATTTCCCAAAACCAGAATAGATGTTTTTGTGTGTATGTGTGTGTGTCTTTGAGTATGTGTGTGTGTGTGAGGCCCCTGAGGCTCTGCAACATTTTGGCGCAGGTTTTAGTGTGTGTTGGGAGGAAGCTGTCAGTGGAATCACCTTTTCTTTAATAATGACTTTTTCTACAAGAAGCGACAGTCCAAACCGAGTAAGGAAACCTAATTAAATCTGATCTAATCTGGGCTGGAGCAGCAGTCTGCCATCCAGCTGTGTGTGTGTGTGTGTGTGTGTGTGTGTGTGTGTGTGTGTGTGTGT